TCTGAGATTTTTAAAAAAGATTGAAAAAACACTGATCTAGAGGTTTGTTTCAAGAGAATTAATTAACTGGTTTCCTGGTGTTGCCTGAAGCCAGAATAGCCTGAGTCCAGAAGGAGCATGAAGCAGTTGCCAATGACAGGGCCCCTTTCACTGCGACCCAGGCCCAGCCTAGAGCTTCCCCTCAGAATGGGGCCCGGAAAGAGCCCTAGACTGGAAACCAGAAGCCCCAGGTCCCAATCCCATCGAGTGACCTTGGGAATGCTGCTCAATCACTCAGGCCCTCAACTTTCCTCCTCTTGAAAATGGACACACATGTAACTACCCTGTGGCCCCCTCGGAAGTTCCAGAAGGATGAGAATCCTGTCTGTTTCAGTGTTCTTGCCCGTGGAATGCCTGCTACACAGTCCGTGCTAATAAATGTTTGTGGAGGGAATGAATACAAGTACATGTTACAAGTCCGTGTGCTCTCCCTGCGGCCTCCCGGACCAGAGCCGAGGCTGAGTCTTCTGACTTTCTCACGTTACTGCAGCTTTTGTGCCTCCGTGGGTTTGTTCGCACAGAAAATGGCTCCGAAGCACCCACTGTGTTCCTGGCCCTCCCCAGACCTCAGTGTCTTTGAGAACCACAGGACAGCCTCATGAGCTAGCCCTTCTCTTTTCATCACCAGTGGTTGTGATATTTAGTCACCCTGGGCTTCCCTAGGACAACTACCATCTATCTGCCTTACAATCAACAACCACGGCCCATTCTGAGGAGCTTGACAATGATTCCTGAGTTCCTGCTTCCCTTATGCCCATCCCTGGGTGAGTCCAACTCAAGGAAAATCCCTAACAAACCACACACACACACACACACACACACATACACACATGCACAACGCACATGCATGCACACAGACATTCCCACATGCAATGTGACCCTAGGACAGGAGTAGGATTTTCTGAGTGCAAAGCCCAGTTCTTTTACTTAGAAGCTGTGTGACCTTGAGCAAGTCCCTTTACCTCTCTGAGCCTCATTTCCCTCATCTATAAAATGTGTGATTTAATAAGATAATGGATATGAATACCTTAGGCTTAACTGGGACATGCTCAATAAAATTGTTGTCTTTATTTCCTTCTCTTAGAAGGGAAAGAGAATGGCAGTTACCTGTGTTGCAGAGAAATCTGTGTTTAGGCGTCTGGAATCTGGGAATTAAATCTGTGTATCGGATGGAAATTACCTTGAGGAGAGGAAAGTACTCGTGTGTCCAATATCATCATATTAACTTTAAGACTGACTGATGAAAATGTAGACTTCAAAGTATGGAAGAGACCCCAGAGGCCATATTTGTGACAGAGGCAGCTAGCTATCCACAAAAATCCATCCTCCCCGTTCACGGTACACAGCTACAAGGGGGGAAAGGCTGCCCTTTGCCAAGAATTCCTGTCTTGGCCTCTTTTGCAACTAGACTGGCTGCAGGAAAGTTCACACGTGACAACAGAAGTGATGCCTCCTACCAGGTCACAGCAGGTAAACAAATCTGCCACCTCCACACTTTCCTCTCCAGCAGCTGGCTGCTGACAAGGAGGCTGTCTAAGGTGATTATGTGGCCACCAGATGAATCACTGAATTACCACCAATAAAAGGACCACTCTCCATTCAGAAATACCTGCCTCATGACAAGTGTCTGTTTTGTTTGAGCCATTATACATTTGGGGGCCTATTTGTCACTGCAGCTACTAACCTACTGATACAAATTCAACCTCCTTATTTATAGATGATTTGGTTATGTCCAGAGAGTGGAGGCACCTCGCCTAAAGTCACATAGCAAGTTCATCAAAGGTCTAGAATTTTTTTTTTTTTTTTGCAGTGTTTGGCTGGGGCTGGGTTTGAACCTGCCACCTCCAGCATATGGGGCCGGAGCCCTACTCCTTTGAGCTACTGGTACCGTCCGAATTTTTTTTTTTTTTTTTGAGACAGAGTCTCACTATGCCACCCTCAGTAGAATGCTGTAGTGTCACAGCTCACAGCAAACTCTTGGGCTTAAGCGATTCTCTTGCCTCAGCCTCCCAAGTAGCTGGGACTACAGCTGCCTACCACAACGCCCAGCTAAAAGGTCTAGAATTTTGATCTCTTAACTCCTTGGAGTCTGTTTGCAGTTTCCAGCCTGCCCCACAAATCTGTAAGGCTTCTTAGAGGCCCTTCAGTGACAAGAGTGAGGTTTAGTGAGCTATAGCCTGGAGTCCTCTGCCTTCGTTTCAACGAGAATAACATCACTTTTTTTTGTTTCCAAATTACACTTACCCATAGACTTTCACTGGAGGAAAAGATTCTGTGGCTTAAATAATTTCAAAGCCCTCACACTGGGGTATTGCTAACATGATCCGACTGTGTGTGGGACTATAGCACAAAGTTTCACTTCTTCTCCACTAAGCAACTTGGCCTCAATTGCTGACACAGAACATGTGGATTCACAGAAGTACATGAAAATTTGCTTAGAAAGGAAAAAATAAACCTCAACGTGCAGCAAAGAAGCCAGAACCTCAATACAAAAAGCAGACTTTCGAGTATTCTAGACCAGGGGTTCTCAAGTTTGGGGGTACATTCACATGGGGAGCTGGCTGAACATGTAGACACCCAAGCCTCATTCTCAGAGATTCTGATTCCAAAAACAGAGGCTGATGAGAAACACCCGTGATTATTGTGGCAGAAGTGGTCCCAGGACTGCGCTTGAAGAATTGCGCTTTGCTACCTCACAGCTGGTGGTAATGACTCAAAGACGGTGAAATAGGCTTTTGGTCTTCTTACACAGGGATGGGGACATGAGCATTAATAAAGAGATCAATAATGATTTCTATGATTCAGACGAGCATCACAAAACATGATGGGACAGAAATGATCATGAGACTAATAGGTTGTGATTATCAAGCCTTTATTATAGAACAGACTCTCTGCTTAGTGCTCTGCATGGATGATCTCATTTACTCTTTATCATGATCTTCTAAGTTCATATTCTCATTTTATAGATGAGGAAACTGAGGTGCAAAGATAAGGAATAAAATATTCCATGCGGGCACCTATGGTACTCTGTTGGCAGGTGACAGAGCAGTCCAACCCCCTCCCCCAGGGCCACAGTGTTCTATTGCCTCCCTAGAGGTCTGGCACCAGGACCCCTCTCCAGGCCTAAGTTTCCTAATCTGCAATAGGGCATGTTTATCATACAGTCATCATGAGGAACCAAGAAAATGGTCTTGATAAATAAAGTGGTTTGCAAACTGTGAGGAGCTATTAAGTAAATATCTAAAAGATGGAATTGTAGTCCAAGTCCCCGCAACCCATTTTACAGATGGTGAAACTGAGGGCTGGGTATTTACTTTATCCAATGAACACGATTCAATGAACCTAATAGATGCTGGTTCTTGCACAGAAGACTGAAGATACAGAGAGAATAATACCCTAGGCCTGGCCTCATTGAGCCCCCAGGCTAGCAGGAGAGATAAGACAGCATGGCAGGAGCTGTGATTGGGGGAGATGCTGGTTCTTGCACAGATGACTAAAGATACAGAGAGAATAATACCCTAGGCCTGGCCTCATTGCGCCCCCAGGCTAGCAGGAGCAATAAGACAGCGTGGTGGGAGGTGTGACGGAGGGAGGATAGGCCCTGGGAGAGCCTAGGGGACAGGTCTTGACTTAATGGGGACTGGGGACTTCTCACAGGGTGTCAAGCCAGAGAGAGGAATGTCTTTCCCAAATCCAAGTTTATCTAGTCCCTAGAGTTTTAAGGAGTCCATAGAAGGCCTCTGCACACCAGGAGGCGACTACTCCCACCGACCTCCTAAGTGCTAGATACCTCACCATTCCAGTGCAAATGATTTAGCTTAAAAAATGCCAAGCTGTTCCCCTCCTATACCAGAGGCTTGAATTAGCTCATCAGATTCACTTCTGTAACCAAAGCATTCAGAGGAATCCTTTCTTCAAGCCAGTTTGAAGAGGGTAAGAACCACAAATATTGGTCTTCAAAAGGAGCTAGAGGATACAGAAAGGAAATCAGGGGCTTTTGAAAATAGAATTGCTGTGTGACTTCAGACCAGTGACCTGACTTCTCTGAACCACACATGCCTGAGTGATCGGGTTTATATCAAGTAGCAGCTACTTGATCATTACAATGCATTATTTATTTGCAATTTTGCCAAAAGTTGGTTTGCCTGGCTCACCTATTTAAAATGTGCTAGTCTGAAAACAAAAGGGAGTGGTGAAATATTTTCAGCAGAGAGCACTGGAAAAGGGCTCAGATCCTTCATATACAAACTGTTCTTAACTATCAATAAGAAAAAAATAAGCATGCCAAGTGGAAAAACACAGGGAAATAGATTTGAACAGAATAGTCACACAAGAAAAGTGAATAACATGTTTATAAAAAAAGAACTAACATTAATAAAGAAATGCAAATTGAAGCATCTAGATATTATTCTTAACTTCTCATCAGGGATGGGTTGCCACAGTGTGGGTGAGGCTGTAAGAATATCACACCCCAACATAACACCATGGAGAGTGAAAACTGGTACAAGCTTCCAGGGGACAAGGTGGCCAGGAGGTTCAAAAGCCTTAAAAACAGGCAAACCTTGGACCCCGCAATTTCATCTGAAAGCTATCCACAGGACAAACACACAAAGGTGACACACCAGATGAAGTGTTCACTGCCGCACTAGTTTGTATTATGGTCATGGGAAAAAGTGAAAGCAAAACATCGTTTCCATGAAAACATTAAAATGCACATGGTCAAGTCCATGGTTAAGAACAAAGTATGCTACCAAACTAGAAGTGGACATCCACATTATATACTTACATGTGTGCATTTGCTATTTTCCATAATTAACATGCAATACTTTTCAAACCTGAAAAGAACAATAAAACTCTTTTCCTTTTGACAAATATTAAATTACACAAAGAACCACACTTTTCTCTCCCCTAGGATTCCCCTTCCTTGACCCCTCTGGAAGTCACAAAGGCAAATGTGATACCTTCTCGTGTAGATGGTCTTCCCAAGGGTCCCTGGTGGCTTCAGGACACTCGAGGCTGTTCAGGAGACTTGTCCTCTCCAGCTTCTTTCTCCCAGGGACACGGTTCCTCTGGCTGTGGTTATTCTCCCGGAAGGCAGTTCATTCATTCATTCCAGATCCCCTTGGAAGCCCCCAGAGTGCAGCCCCTCGGAACACCCTGGTCCCCGAGGTAGCTTCTATGTCCCGAGCTCCCTGCTCACTGCTGGGGCTGCTGCCCTGAATGAAACAGGGACAGAACTCAGCCAGAGAAACAGCTGGAGGGAAGAAGGGAGAAGGGAGGGGCAGGAAACTGGGCTGACCGAGGGCGGGGGCGGCCAGCTGCTGGAGTGGGGGCCGTCAGGGGAGACTGCCCCTGCCAGCCCCGTGGGTGGTGGCTAGGCCCACCGGGACAACCCACCCCTCTGCAGCCGCACACAGCTGGGAGCCATGCCCACTGTCTGCGCACAAATCAGGAGCATGTGCAGACCCCAGACTGCTGGGGGAAAGATGTCTGTTCTGCAAAGCTCCAGACTGACTCTGAGACCAGCTGCCTCTCCCCACAGGCCTTTGGGAGCACTGTTCTTCCCACCTCTATGCTGTCCCTGCCCCTCTTCATGGCTTGATGGCCTCCTGCTTCCTCTTCAGGTCTCAGCTTGGAGGACTCCTCCCGGGGAAGCTGTCCCTGACCCTCTGGGGTCTGCTCTGGGCTCCCCTCTGCCCCATGGGCTCCCCTCATCACAACACTGATGCAGCAGTGTCCTTATCCATCAGGGTGGCTCTCTGTTTGCACTGAGAAGTCCTTGGAGAAAGGACTGGATTTTGTTCCCTGCCCTATCCCAGTGCTAAGTCCGGTGCCTGGTTTGTCAGCTGCATCATCAACAGAATAATCAAAATAGCTAAGAGCAGGCACCGTGCTCGGCAATTGGTACTTAATCCATACTCACAGCAACCCTAGAAAGTAGGTATTATTACTACACACATTTTACCGGTAAGGAAATTGGGGCACAGAAAGGTTAAGTCACTTGCCCAAGAACATACGGCCAACAGGTGGCAGAGCTGATATTTCAATCAGGCTGTCTGGCTACAGAACCCGACCTTAGCCCCCAGACTTAAGAAGTAACAGAAATGCCCACTGTGTGTATGGTCCTGTACCAAGTGCTTCCATGGAGTAAGTTACATGAACTTTCAAGGCTGCCAGGAAAGGTATCACTTGCGTATTTCACAGAAGATGGTGCTGAGCCACAGAGAGGAAGCTGTTTCGCCCAGGGCGCCCAGCTCATGCTGACGAAGTCATGGTTGGACCCAGGTCTGTCTGATTCCAAAGCCAAGATCAAGACTGCCTAAAATAACATTTTTCAGAAAGGAAAAGAGGAGGGGAAGGAAGGCAAGGGCTCAAGGGGAGGAGGAGAGAAACCTTCTCTTCTTTGGGCCTCAAAGGCATGGACAAGTCAGGAAACATGGCCTCATCTGATCAGCCTTACAACCTCACCTTCCTCTCCCCACTACCCTCAACTCCTTAATTCAGTCAGGTGTGCACTTACAAACCATCTAATCTAACCCTTCTATTTTGCAAATAATACCTTGACCCACAGAGAGGTTAAGTCACTTGTCCAAGGTCACACAGCATCAGAACCCCCAGAGTCAGAAGTCAGACTCAGCCTATCAGACTCCAAACCTGTGGTTTAAAACCTCAGCACCTTTGCTAGACCTGTCCTTTCTGCCAAAAAGGTCGCCAAGGACAGAAGTCAGACCCAGCCTATCTGACTACAGACCTCTTTTCTCTCCCCTCTCATAAGCATCTTATCCAAAATGTTATATGCAGATGGAAACACTTGCCTCCGGAGATGACAAGGGACTCCCCCAAGGTCACCAGCAGTGAGTAGCAGAGCAGCCACACCGCTGAAGTCTCCTGATGAAAAGGGGAAGATATTTCCATAATGTGACAAAGACCCTGGACATCACCACCTGAGAGTTGGTTATTAATAGAGATGAGGTTTCCAGACCAGCAGCCTCTCCCACAAGCTTGTTAGATGTGCAAACTCTCTGGCCTCACTGAGACCCAGTGGATCAGAAACTCTGGGGACAGAGCCCTGTTTTATGGGTTTTAAGAAGCCCTCCAGGGGATTTTAATGTTCACTCGAGTTGGAGAACCACTGAAAATAGACATTTCAATTAGGAATAAATTAAAGCAGGTCCTGGACAAGTTACCTTGCCAATGCACAGAATGGTGGCTGAGAGCAGAGGCTTTATATAGGACGGACCTGGTTTGAATCGAAATCTCTTTTGTCAGCTGCATGACTCAGCCAGTCCTTTCACCTCTCTGAGCCTCAGTTTCCTTATCTGCTGTGAATAAAGGAGAAGGAGGAGGAGGCCTCTAAGGAAGAACAAGTGCACGAGGAATTCTGGAAGGGGAGCGGGGCAAATCCGCTTGCTGCAGTGGACTGACAGAAATTGCCTCTTCTTCTCTTGAGCTGGAACCTGCTACAAACAGCCCCCTGCCGCCAAGCTGAGGCTGAAATGAGGTTTGGGTCTTAACAGCTGGGAGCCACATCTGGCAGAGCGAGGACACTGGGCTCCAGGATACTGGGCCCTTGGGTGCTAGGGAGGAGCCCCCAGTGAGGAAGGCATTGGACCACCCAACTAATCACCCTCCACCAGCGGCTTCAGGCCTTGTGAAGGGTTCAGGCCACCCTTTCGAACATGGCTGAAAAGTATCATGTTTTCTTCCTCTAAATGTAGATGACTTTTTGTTCCTTTGTTCGCTTGTTTTTGCTTTTGTTTTAATAGGATTTTGAACTTTCTAAGGCCTGACATAGTGATACTGGGGCTGGAGGAAGAGGTGGTCCCCTTCTGGGCATGCAAATGAACCTCTGTTTATACCCTTGAAACTCCACATAGGGTCAAGATGGAGAATGAAACTTCACCTTGATGCCAACTCCAGTTGGTTGGTTCTTGACTCACAGAGCTCCGTGTTAAAGGGAATCTGAGGCCATATCCAGGCCTGGCTAGAAAAAACATGGAGATCAATTAGCAATGTCGGCCCTGGACCTAGGGGTAGGGATAGGGGCAGTTGCCTTTCTCATCCCACTCTGTTCACAGAAGTCTATTAGCAATGCCTACCTGGGACCTGGGGGTGGGGGTGGTTGCCTTTCTCATCCCACTC